TGCTAACTCTGCTATGACTCCTGTTGCTTGGAAAACCAGCTGGCCTTGTGTCGTAGCTGCTGATTCTGAAGAGAACTTGGTTCACTCTGAGTTAATCCGAAGCAGGTCGCTGCTGTTGAGGAGGAGAGCGTTTGCAGGCTGCTGTGAGCAGGCCGGGCGAGAGAGCTGGTTTCTCAGGTAGCAGGGCTGACCTGGGCTGGGGCCTTGTTGCCCTTTGAAGAGCCGAGAGGAGAGAGCAGGAGCTGCTCTCCAGAGCAAGCCAAGAAGAGGGCCAGAGGACTGGTTTTGTTTGGTGACACCCTTAGGGGTCACATGTCACACGCTGACCCACGCTGGCTGGCCAGTAAGGTCCGTGGGGGGAAGGGTCATCCCCAGGTGTGAACGGTGAGGAACTGTAGAGTGTGAGTTCCTTTGTCCAGTGGAGCAAAGAAACATCTGGTCTCTTGAATGATGAGTCCCAACACCTGTGTCCCAGAAGTTTTTGCTCAGTCCAAAGTTCTTCACACACATGCAACTGTGTATCCATCACCATCCATCACCATCCGTCACCATCCGTCACCATCCGTCACCATCCGTCACCACAAGACTCGGGCGGATAATGTCTCGTGCAGGTGGAAAGAAGTGCGACCTGATATGTGACGAACAGAGCACCTGAGGGAGGAGGACAGGTGAACTGTCCCAACTCTGTTACTGTGAGTTTGTTAGAACTCTGGATCATTCTCACCATCAGCATCCTGAACCTGAACCAGGAGCAGAACCCCAGCTGGACCCACAGCAGAACACAAGTTGTTCCTGTCAGTCGTTCTCTCAGACACATGAGACACCTGACAGGAGAACCCACCTCAGACCTCCTCCTCTCTCACCTTGATTGTCTTATTAAAATGCACCTGTCTGATGATCCTGCCTCGTGATGTCGGTACACACCTGAGAGCGTGTGAACAGTCTCCCTCACCAAGACGACAGCTGTGTGTTCTGGTCCAGAGGCTGTTGGCTCATCAGCAGGTCAGACCTGTTTGAGTCTGAGACCACGACCTGGTTCTCACACCTGACAACAGTCTGATCTGGACCAACACAGACCAGTCTGATGTCAGACTGTTTCACTAAAACAAAGACTGACTCAGACACCTTAACTCCAGACTAACTCAGGCCAAAGACCGATGTTACCACGGTAACAATCAATGACACCCGCACTGATCAGCAGCACCAGACAACAACAAACAGGAAAACAACATTGTTATGGAGAGAGCAAA